AAGTAGATATGTGGCGCATTCCGAAACGAGATTGGTCATCTTCGAATGTTTTACCTTCATCCTTAACCTTATGACGTTTCACGAGTTCCCAGAATCTTGCGAAACTGAAGCATCGCATTTTACACTTTCAGTTATGCGGTGTTGAGAGCGATTGTGCTTGCATTTTCAAGAACCAGTATAGTCAATAGTCAAGCCGTCATCTGAGCCGCTTACGCTTTCAATTTCGTAAATAAAGTAGGAATTGTAAAACGGATATGGGCATTTCAAAAATCAGACAATACTCACCTCCGTACGCTGCCGGGGCGCAATTGCACGGCTCATCCCTCCAAGTGGTCGCCCAGTCTGGCTGATAACTGTAGTTGTAACGCAATGCATCCAGTTTTACAGGCATATCTACAAGTCGACAGCTTCGATCAGTATTGATTTTCAGAATACGAAGCAGCACGGTAATGAATGCTTGGCACCTAGCCAATGTGCAGCATATCCTCTCTGCGAATGGTACATTTCCATCACCTACCTTTACAACTGAGCAATTTGTCAGCTCCAGCTGGTACACCAAAGTACGCACAGAACCATTTGAATGCTTTTATACGTCGCGATTCTCCAGGACCTTCAATTATTGAAATTACCCAATTTACCGAAGGCGAATGCATAGGTACAAGCTCTTGTATATTTCGGCCTAAACATGTCTTTGTCCGAACATGGAAAACCACTTCTTGCAGAGTTGGACTGCAACAAATACTGCAAGGTCGGCTAACGTACAAGTCGCGAAACGTCAAGACGTTCAGCGCAAAGCCTTCACATGCTCTCCCCACAGTGTTATACCAGCAGTGGGCCATCTCAATAAAAAAATAATTATTGACAAACAGTTTACATAAAATAAACATTTCATAAGATGATATTTCTGGAAATTCGGTCGTTATCATCAATTCGCTATAGATAATCTTCCAATTAGCTCATACCTCCTGGCTCTTGCATATCCTCTCCGTTGCATTCGTTGTTGATAATGAGACTGGTGGGTCCGAAAATTGGGCCAGTATAGCCGACGGCTGCATTTTGGGCACCACTGTTCCATGTTCCTGGAAGAGGCGATGATCGCCAGAGTTAGGTGTACAGCAAAACGCAGTAACTGCATTCAATTTTACATCAAAAAGGCACACTCGCCTCTTTCGCTGAATTTTCAATTATATCCATCGGTGCCTTCAAGTGACCCCAGAGAGGTCTTTTTTATTAGTCCATTGTTCTCCTTTCAAGAAATAGTTTGAGTTTCGCTTCAATTCTATTGTTTTTCCCATAACACAGATTCTCTTGCAGCCGTGTGCAGACCGAATTGTGATATCGCAGGCTGCACTGCTCGCCTCTCATTCGAGAGAAAATTAACTCAGTGGAATAAAGGATAACGACAGAACGACAATAGAACGACATAGAGGTGAAGACAATACGCGGGAACTGAGGCCCTACATAAGGGTGGCCTTCCACCAGTGACTCTGAATCAAGAACAGTCCGATCGTCTTCCTGCTGGTCTCTGGGTGGTCTCGAGGACCGGACTGTGTTACGGTAGGTGGCCCACCTTTGGATTACGTGATGAATTCTTTGGTCTCGAACTTCAGTAGGGTTGCTGAGGCATTTGGTCGGGTAGTCATAAATTGTTTCGACCCTTTCAGGCTCTGAAGAAGGCGATCCCCGCCGAAACGTAAGCCCAATAAAGTTATTTGCCAACCTCGTGAGGAGCTTCAAAGAAGATATCAACAAGCTACATATGCCGAGGTTCATCCAAAGCCGTACGTGGAGACGTTAACGACAGCCTTACCCATAACTATATCATGCATGGCTGGTTTCGGAGGTTGTGGTGTCATGTAAAACCACAATGAAGCGAGAATTGCCAAGGGAGGATCCATTTTTCGTCATAATCTGAAATGATTCACTTCATAAGTTTCCTATTCAAGGCGTGTCCAAGAAAAATTCGTACCAGATTTGGTTCACTGAGCAAGTCGACACTGATATTCTTAGTTTTTAGGAAATCCATGAATTGACCGTAGTTGTAATTGTATGAGATCTGAAAGTATGCAACCTTGCTCTTTGACTGCCCGTCTTCCTGTGTGGTACAATAAATTCTCCCTTCCATAGAAAATTTTTGGCAGAAGGACTAAAAATCTTATTTTGGGAACAACTAGCTATTTAAAACATTTGGTTTTCATTCCCTTGAAAGAGTCGCTACGGAAATTTCTTGCATTCGTTCCCAAGCTAAAAACATAAGTTGTGGTCACTGAAGACAAGTTACAAAGAATCACGCACGAAGATTCGGCTTTTGAGACTGAACAAACATAGGGACAGGAGGGTCAGAGACAAGTGAAGCATGGAAAAAAGTACGTCTTTGTCTGGCTAAGTATTGTTGACGCAATGAAAGAATTGGGTTAAAGTGTTTGAATTGGCAATAGAGAGAAAACGATTGAATGATAGGATGCAGTAGAAAAGAAATGTTATGCCATAGGTGGGAAAGGCCAAAAGAGTTCCTAGTGAAGGCACTCCGAGAACCAAGTGGAATCGTTCCCGTCGCCAACATTTGTGACAGATGTACGGCGGGAATTTGAACGCGTAGCAGTCCTTCCGGTTTTTCGAATTGTTTACCAAAACAAACACAATTTTTTTCTTTTTCTCTTATCGTGAATGATGGGTTTCAAGCCAATTATTTATGGATGAGATAAAACCATGATTTTCTGTGGACGATTTATTTGATTCAGACAGTTCTTGTAGAATCCCATTAGGTAAGATATGGATATATTATTACAGTACCTGTATAGCTCCTCGGCCAAAATAGCATCCGGTAGAATAATTGCCGACTGTGTTGTTCGAACATGGATAAGAAATAGCTGATCTCAGCTGACTCGGCGCAATACCTCAACCAATACTCCTCTAATACTGCCACCAGACTTCGAAATCTATTCAAGGCTCACCTTCCTGCTGTTATACACTTGGCGCCATCCTTAGGATCGTAACCTGGTGAAGCCTGATCCATAAATGAGCTTGTGGGGCCGCCTTCGAACCAATTGTAGAACCCTCCTCGGTAAAAGCAGTCGGCTGCGTCTTTCAGGAGCGCCTTCCGCTGGAAAATTGATCTATTAACATCATTTCAGAATTTTTCGGTATGCTTCAATTAATCGAGAGGATTCTATGTATATTCCTTACTGCACAAAGATGAGGCAGAGAAGCTCAATAATAAGGGAGGGGAGGGGGCTGATACCCATCACTCTAGCCAAAAACACAAGGTCTTCCGAGCCTTTTTTACACGTAGAGAATTCAGAGCGGCAGGGGTCAAAGCCAGCGAGTATATTATAGTTTTAGGTGTGCCCAGAATGGAAGTGGGGGTGCTAATGGTGCGCCAGCGGTCAAACGAGCAGAAAATTACTTTCGGAAACTTGCAACAAAGTTGGTCTTATGTCGCGGAGGAAATTACGACCTAGAAATTGGATGTTTCTGAGGGTGCCGTGGAGGAACACGTAGCACGACAAGATTACAAGATAGGCTGGTTCATACAAAATACACCTCCGAAATGAAATGAAAGGCGATTATAGCGGCATCGCAGGAACTCCAATGGTGCAATGGTGAGGCTGCGGCTGGCATTTTTTTGGGTTTGGGCCTCATCCTGCGCTCTCGTCGTCGTGGTAATGGTACCATTCGCCTCCTTCGCCCCCCCCCTCCCGCCACCGCGTGCAGTGGCGAACATACTTCCTTCGTGCACATTTAGTTTATCGTAATCACTACCTTCAAAAGCGCATACATAGTCGACGGTGGAGTTCCCGCATAAGACAACTATCACTCAAAATTTTTTCAAAAAGAAAGTCGATTGCCTGCTCAACGTCCATGACAAATTAATGACAGAATAAGTCTACTCACTCGTAAAGTCCAGCATTGTTCTCTCCGGTTTCTTGCACGGCGTGCGCGAAGAATGCGGCTAGATCCCTACGCGCATTTTCCGTCGGAGTTGTAAACCTAAACAGAAATGATGACGGATGAACTTTACTCTGATATTGTTTGAAATACAGGGGTGACGAAATTGTGCAAAATTGGAATTAGTTCCGAACAGGAGGGACTAAGAGGGTGCGCTAAGGAATTTGGGAAAGGAATCTGATAGGGATTGAGAAGCGAGAAGTTTGTACCAGGTCAGGAGGATCGATTTTGAGATTAACTCAGCGAATTCTCAGATGATGACATATTGAGAGAAAGGGATATGGGAAATCTACATAGATTTAAAACAATGAACAAAAATCTGCTAAGGATTACGACAAGAAGCATCGCCAGAAGGAGCAAGGCCGAACATGGCAGCTTGCCAGCCCACAGTTAGTCGTTCTACTTTAAAACGCAACGCTAAAACCTAAGGTTAGCTTGCGCATTCAGGCAGTCAATTACAATTAGAGACAGCGCTCTGGGGAAAGGGAAAACAAGGCTATAGTTCAACTCATATGTGGGAGGATTACGTGACCACCTGAATTGCCTCTATGTTCCCTGTCGCGAGAGGCTAGAGTAAAAGCGAATAAACAATAACTGTTGTGTTAGCTTCAAATGCTGAAAACGATGCACAAGTGCTCTAGGACTATGCCTTGGAGGGGTAGGGAACTCCGGGATCAACATACCGTGTTACAAAATTGGAGCGGGCAGATCACGGTATTCAAACCCACTATTCAGCTGTGAGAGCATAGACAGGAGCAGCATATTGAAGCAGTTAAAGACTGAGTTCAAGCTGGCCGTAGGCCATGTGGGAGGACGTGGACGCAGCGGTGAAACGAAGACATTAGCGTCCTTGTCGAGCACTTTGAAGTCGCGACAGCGCCACCACCCCCGTGAGTAGGGGCCATGCTACGTCAATCAAGAAGACAATTCCTCTGAAGATCTAATCGCGACCCGTGCCTTTAGGGCGTTCTGGAACGCCGATGCCATTTTATGGCATCCCAGTGGCTCCACATTATTGTCTTGACTGATATTGAACAACTTCTACTATTTTCACACGAACAAGAGGAACTTACCGAATTGGGACTGCTTGTACCGAAATTCGGGAAATATCTGGCAGCGATCACAAACGCTTCATATGAATATGGTAGGCACGGATTTGATCCCCAGCCAAGGTTGGCAAATGGGAAAAGGTCCTGAATTTGTGTTAGATAGTGCAACAAATTATTGGATATATGTAGCTCAACATACCTCGAAAATTTCCTTTGTGAACCATTGCTCTAGTTGAGAGGGTGGCAGATTATTGGGATCAGATGGTTGAGTGCAGTTTGATGGAGGGCCTTTCCCATATCTGCCCGCAGCCGGACACTGCGCTCGAGGAAGGACTCCGCTGGCTTAAAAGGAAAATTGGATGTTAGGGACACTTTATGAGTTGGCCTCGAATGTTCATAGCTCAATTAACATAAAGTGGCCTTCCCAAAAACCTATTGAAAACCTGAGCTATCTCATGAACGCTTTTGGGGAATCCCTCCTCGTGAAATAGAAAAACGTCATTACAGACCCCAAACATCTCCCAACGTTAGCCGCAAATTGGAAAAAACTAGTTTGTTGATGAGTCTCGCTACATTACAATGTGCGGCTAAACCGTAATGGCATCCCGAGCCTAGCACCGACTTGATTCCCTTACGCCTAAGAGACTAAGGCCTGGAAAAAATCGTACTGGTATTCTCATAGAAAAACCACTATCACTAAGTAAAACTACCTGTCAACTAATGGATCAACCCGTTTCGAGAAGTGGTACAAAGTTGGCAGTGCAAAGGAGAGCATAGAGAATCGTCGTGACGAACATCGATGTTATGAATATGTCTTATCAGATCTTTGTATTATGCAGCCGGTCTTGCGCAACTAGACACTCCACATCCTCGCTCTTTCGATAAGGATGCCCTCTTCCTGACCATTGATAAGATACCCACAAGCATGCCGTCTCCCCTTGCGTTTGCATAACCCAATCATAAACGCGGAGTGAGGTTCACGGCAGCCGAATATTCTGTCTCACATGCTACTTATAGATAGATCTAATTCTTGAATGGAGAATGTGGACTATTAGGATGTCCCTAAAGTTCGTGCCACCTTTTCGACCCCATGCCAAAATTTTATGTGGCGATTTCTAATATGTTAAGGGTGTCCTCCAAGAGCGCACTGTGTGGAGTAACCTATGGCCAAATCACGCCCACCCTAGCTGTTTTCTCCGAGCTGTAGATGAGAAAAGAAAGAACTAAGCATAAGTTTTAAAAATTTGATTTACGAGCCTCTGATGAGCCACAACCGATCGTAGCCAGGACTAATAATTGCTTCGAGATACATCTCTCCCTCGCCTTCCACTATGTATTATTATGGCAAGATCTCCTACGCCTAACTAAATACAAGAGATTAGGGCCTGGAAGAAACTCCTCGCTACAGGAAATATTCGGTGTCTGATCTGGACCTGCTGTGTTCTCCCATTAGTCAAGCCGCATGAGTAAAGTTGCTATGGTGGTATGTGACCACCACACTCTGACGTTTCAGGCACCCAATTGATAGAGTTCTGCCTTCCTTCGAAAGATGTTAAAATTTGGACGAAGAAATGCTCATGAATCGGTTTGCAATCGCAAGATCGACACGGCTTCACTCTATATTTTCTATCCTGTTCCTTCCACAACCGATGCCATTATTGCCTATGAAAAGTGGTGGTTCTTTTCCACTCAAACCCTGAACCAACACTGGCTGGATCGATCAGATGGGGCTGGGAAACTATCAAGTTCAGTCGAAGCTTTTGGCCCAAGTATGGTGAGCTGTTTGCGGATCAGCCCTTAGCAAATTCTTTTTAACTAAATCCCTGTGAAAAGCAAAACATCCTATAATCAACGCCTAACTTTCACAAGACATCTGTCAAACTTTCAAATTATAATGCTAGCAGCCGCATGCCCTCAGATACTTGCAGCTCATCCTCACTGATCATAAGCTTATCTTTGGTACAAAAATGAAGCACTTATCACCTGGACGAGTGATCCGTTCTAGAATCGTTTGCGGGAGAGTTACGTTCGATGGGACGCCGGAGCGTATCGTTGACATGGTCTGCAGAACTTCGAGTATGCGGTGCCACAACATCTAAATATGGGCTGTGTAGGTCATTATGGGCTTGAATTCGAAAAAGAGCTTCTGAAAGATGATGAAGGAGGGCGAAATGTATAGCGGGCATGATTAGGAAAACCCTGTAATGATGGCATTGTCACAAGAATACAACAATTGAGGAAATACATGCGGCTCGTAGCGGATCGAACCGTACCAGTTAGCTTTCCATCGTGCCGACCCGCCGGTCATCCCATGAGTTCGGCTTCACACTCTCTATATTCTGCTTGACAACATTGGAACACGTAGAGCGTATGAGGTTGGCATAGCCGGGCGTGATTAGACATAATCAAGCTTTACTTATTATACGTTCTCAAAGGTTTTATCTGACCTGTTTTACATCGCTGATGGGGAATTACCACTGGTTTTTTCAACTTAAAAGTTTTGCGTGATTTCTAGCCTTCTGCTGAGTTAATTGAAGAGAGGATCAAATCCGGTATTTATTCTCGCCAAGTTCCATAAAGCTTCCATTCCTTATGGGTCGTATAATGCCGACCGAAACTTGGTCTGCGAAAGCTACGATTCTCTGAATACATAGTTACATTTAGGACCGTAGCACCTCAGATGTTACTGTGCGTTTTAAGAGGAGACTGATAGTGCACTAATAAAAGAATTGATTAATTGCTTCCACTTCTTATCTCTTAGCCTGAATATGTCGATGCAAAAATGGCTTGGTTTGATTCCATGCAAAATTTCAAGTATTATGGCAAGAAATGCTGGCAATGAGAACATGAAAATATCGCCATGAATTTTTAAATCGAGCTGCGTAGCGATTGCAAAATGCTCGTGTAGGTTTTTGGAACGAGACCTATGTGTTCTCAAAACCCTCCAATAGACAGCCTATTTGAGCATGGGAAAGAGTGAAATTTCCAATCTGATCTGAATTCGAAAACCCCTGCAGGCAGAGATACAAGCTTATGTTGGATCACAGATACTACAGTGCGCATCGATTGCTTATGCCATCCTAAAGTTTCTTCAGAATTTCTCATGTCTCTCAGCTACGGTGTGCATGTAAGTACAAATGAGGAAATCCTCCACTTATGCAATGCACACAAATGGTGGAGCATTTATAACTAATTAGTTCGGAATATTAGCCCTTATACTGGACGGTAGCAGCATGAAAACGCTTTATCAGAGAAAGTGCTGTGTGCTCACTTTTGCGATCGCTCCTGCTGCTTATTGTAGAACTCATCGAGGAGTGTATCCAGGCAAAACTGGGAAATTGAAGTGCTCAAGGAGCCTAAATTCACATTTTCCCGCGTTAATCCGTGGTCAACTTTATTTGTGGTCTCGGCTAGCGCCTCACAAAGTCTCTGTTCAGAGAGAATATGAATCGTACTCACAATTCGTCTACTACCCAAGTTCGGCGATGGTTACTAGGCGGATTGTGAGTACGATTCATTTTCTCTCTCTGAACAGAGACTTTGTGAGCGTGAACGCTTCGAGCTTCGCGGGAGCCGAGACCACAAATAAAGTTGACCACGGATTCGAAGCGGGAAAATGAGAATTTAAGGCTCCTTGAGCACTTCAATTTCCCCAGTTTTGCCTGGATACACTCCTCGATGAGTTCTACAATAAGCAGCAGGAGCGATCGCAAAAGTGAGCACACAGCTCTTTCTCTGATAAAGCGTTTTCATGCTGCTACCGTCCAGTATAAGGGCTATTCCGAACTAATTAGTTATTATGCTGCACCATCTATGGCACGGTGGTGTAGTGACAAGTGGCACGCTTACCACGCGAGCGGTCCGGGGATCAAATCCTGGGTCGTGAGTCGCCCGGGCCAACCAAGCCTTCCATCCCTCCGGGGTCGGTTAATTGGTACCAGACTTGTCTGGGAGGATAAAAAACACTGACTTGTACATCGGCTGGCCCCCGCAAGTCATTGTATAGGCCACATCGCATTCAAACGCCACTACGAATGTACAAATGGAAGTAGAATGCGTGCCGCATCCCAAAAAGGGATTGATCAACGGCAAATGCTTTATCCTTTATCCTTTATTATGTGCATTGCATAGTGGAGGATTTCCTCATTTGTACTACATGCACACCGTAGCTGAATAGCGTTAGAGACATGAGAAATTCTGAAGAAACTTTAGGATGGCATAAGCAATTGACGCGGCCCATTTTCTTCTTCCAAAGAACAGAGCAATTCAAATCCACGCGTTAACCAATGAGCAAACCGCCGTACTTAAACTCCCAACATCTATGAAAATCAACTGGTTGAGTATGCGGCCGATTTACGTAATTCGCAACCATAGTCAAAAAGAGAGCATTAGAGGTGCTAAGCCCAGTTTGACGTGCCCTGTATATCTTGATCCTATCTAGCTTCCATTTGTTCCCTAAATATTGAAGCACACAGCTGATTTTTCTTGATCGGCTCAGATACACTGGAATTACGAAGCTTTACAGTAACTCAAATTATTTCTCGATTTGCCGTAGTCCAGCCCACAAATGAAAAACAGTGCTCCATCAAAGGTATTTGAGAAATTTTCTGTCTTTTTGAATCATTTTGTTTGTAGCCAAGCCTCGATGTTTACAAAACCTCTCAGTGAACCGATTCGTTAGATGCATTTACTCGCCACTACAATATTTGCCTACTTTGCACCCGCAGACAAGGAGGATGAAAGTTCACAGCGAGCAGGACTAACATCACACGTATGGGTACACACCGTCCTCTCTTCCGCCTGATATTCAAACAGCTCAACAATACTTCAATAAATATAAGCAAAAAAAAACAAAGTGTGAAGGATCTACCCACTTCCCAATTGGATGGTTACTGGGTCCTTAACAAAGTTTCTAAATTTAGGACATTAGGAAGCTTCTCGCAGTTGTTACGCATCTGAAGCTTATTCTGGAGAAAATCTTATGATGAAATAGTGAATGGCTGGAAGGAGGCTTGACCTGGAAAAAAGGTTCGAAATGAATAGAAAATTCAAATGCCAATTTCAAACGAAATCGTGAGTTATATACATGATACATTATTTATATGTATTTAGAACTCTAGAAAAGAATGTGTTAGTGGTTGTGTATAAAAAATACGGTAAACAAAAACCTGTAAGCTTTGACGCAAGTTATACTTCCCCACTCTCATTCTTTTGGCATGAATAATTGAATGGATGCAATATTTTCAAATAAAAGCTACAATTTTACCAAAAAAAGGACACATTCTATACATTTTTTCTCCAACTCCTACACCGTTGGGGGTGTTCAGAAGACCCTATGTGGGCAGCACATTTCCTACGTCAAAGAGAGGGTGACTGATGACTAGCACTTTAAGCATGATTCAAGAAAAAGCAGGTTTCTTGAGATGCATGCTTCTCCATAAATGGTACTTCTAGGGTCCGAGAATGCGGATCACTTTGTTACCATCGCTAGTTTGAACTGCCGTTAGCTGCGGAAAGAGCTCTAAAAATGGATGCTCGTCTACCCTACACAATGACATTACAGAGTGGAAAAGTCAGCGAAAAAGCCGAGTTATAATAACCTAGAGTAGATAACACAACGGGCCTGAGCGACTAAATTTTGAACCTGGGGCCGTAAGGTATGCTTCCCCGAATGGTTGCGGGGACGAAAGTCCCTTTAAATTTTTTGTTTTGAACGATACTGTTTCTTTATTTTCAATGCATGCTTACTTTAAGCTACACACATATATTAGATGTAGGCCCTTTATCAGGACAATCC